TACTCACATTGGTAAAAGCAGAGGGATCAAGACCAATTTACGCCACAGTAGGGACAGGGTACACAGCTGTGAGCGTCTATACACATCTTCCCTGATTAATTCAGCCTCAGAGAAATGGTAAGATATTGGTGTCTTATTTACAAAGCCTGAGCCTGCTGGGATCGGTACTGGAGGTTTTTCTACTTTTACTGAAAATTGTTCGTGAAGGCTTAGAAAGACAAGCCGTTTTTCCTGAATTTCCTGCTTATACAAAGCTTTCATTTAGTCCCAGGAATTTTATCACTACTCTGAGGAAAGCATGGACTGGGTAATAAAGTGAGAGCTCTAACTTTAAAGACACCACTGACCTCCTTCTATCAAGTGCACAGTTAATCCTAACAATACTTTGGGAGAAGCTACATTTCTAAATTTTCCAAGAGTCACTACATTTCAGAGAGACTATAATTTCTCCATGCTTATTCTGACTGTAGCCATGGTGCTTTTTAAGACCTTGAAGGAATCACCTGGTTGTGGCAACGAAAAACAAACCTTTCCTTGAGCATGCTTCCAAGTAACCTTTTTTTCCTCAGTAAAGTTACTTTCAAGCCTCCAGGCTCTCACCTTGACCTGAAAAAAAAAGAATACAGTTTAGCAAGTCAGAGTTCCTGGAAACTACAGGGCATCCTCTTGTTTTAAGGAAGGGAGCATTGCTGTCTTCAGGAGCTCATTCCAGGCTAGATGAAACGTTCCTAGTAGTTTCAAATAAAATAACATAAATCTTGTTAAGTACTTAATTTATTTGCCGCAGAAAAGAGGGTATAGCGCCTTTCTTGTCCAAACCATGGTGCCTGGTGCCCTCAGCCTGCCCCGGTAGGCACAGAGCTGGGGCAGGGGAGCAGCTGTCCAGGGCTCACCAGCTCTGCTCCTCCCGTCTGCAAGGGAGCCCCAGATGTGGCTTGAAATCCCTGCGCTTATCCTTCATAAGCTTTGTTTCAAGCAAAATGGAACTCATATAGACAACTGTGAACTTTGCCATCGAAGTTCAGGCACAGCAGGTCTCGCCTCCACCAGATCTCCTTTCTTTTCCTGTCCCCTTGAAAAATGAACACACCCTCTCCTGTCGTCAAGGCTACTCAAAACCTCTAGGGCAGGAGAGTCACATCTGTCAAGCCTATGCAAAACCCCCTCAGAGTGTGAATGCTCATCATGATCAGCCTCATTGGCTTGGGGTCCTTTGTACTGCTGACGGGTCAGAGTACTGAGCAGATATGCAAGGAGCATCCCCTCCCATTGATTCTCACACCACAGGATTGGGTCCTGTGCAAGCAAGGCACAAAAAGCGTCAAATTTTGTTTTCTGTTGTTCATCTCCATAAGTAAAACAAGTAAGACTGAGATCTTGACTGGCGTTTGGTATGCTAAAGAAACCTACTGTTGCTCTCAATTTTTAAAATCCCCATATTTGCAATATGCTCCATGCACCTCTCTTCATTCTTCAGCCTGTGGTCTTCATAGCATCAAAAGGTCACAGACTGAAGACCTGCAAGCTGCGGTCTTTAGAAAGTGTTTTCTTCCCGTTTCTCCAAGAAGAGCAAACTACTTAGCAGGCCCTGCCTCTGTGTCACAGCAAAAGAGGTCAAAGATTTTCAAGTTCTGTTTGTTCGCCTTTAAAACATGGCCTTTTCTTCCGTGAAACTCAGAACATATTTAACAGGAAACAATAAAGATATAGGACAGTTTTGGAGAGGAAATAGGACATTTTAGGTCGGCAGAAAAAAATTACGTATGCTGAAACTGGGTCAAGACACCACAGTGTTTACCACGACTCTTAGGAAAAGTGCCATGGGGTTTTTAATAATGACAAAAATTCAAGATCTCAGCATTGGGTCTCATCCCAAAAAGTAATGCAGTTTCAGGCCAAATGGAAACTAATCTGGCCTATAAATCACAGTGCAGCAGATGTAACCCACTTAGTCTTGAGCCCGGTCACTTTTGTTCAGCTAAAGCAGATCTTCCAGCCATTCTGATCCAAAGGCATCAAGAGACTGAGCATTTGTCTTCTTCCCTTAACATTGCTCCTAGTGCTAATTATGGTCATTGTTTCAACTCAGGCTAATTTCTCATTTGAATTTTTCTGGCTTCACCTTCCAACCACTAGACCTTGTTGTGTCTTTCTCTCCAAGTTCAAAAGCCTTTTAGTACCTAGCATTTTCTCCCCATGAAGGGACTCACTAAACCTTTTAGTCCTCTCTTGGATACTTTAGATAGACTGTGGTCTTTAAATTTCTCAAAGCCAGACATTTCCCCCAGTCCTTAAATCATTTCTGTGGTTCTTTTCCCTACCCTCTCCGATTTTTCAATGTCCTTCTCAACTGTGGATGCCAGGTCTGGATGCAGCATGCCACAGTAAAATTACCACCTTACTCCTACTCACTATTTTCCTGTTTATTTATCTAAGGAGTACATTAGCGCTTTTGGTTACCACAGTGCTTTGTTAGCTCTTATTGGATTGCATGTCCACTTGGAGCACCTAAGTCCTACTCCCCTCTCCCACATATTATCCCAACTTTCATCAGATATCTTTGAGGAAAGAGAGTAAGAAGTGATTCCAAAACACATTATAAACATATAGTGAAGACTCATGCTTTTTGCAACATATATAGCAGACACCACTTGAAACTGCCCCTCAAGTCCTCAATTCCCTTCTCTCCAGGCCCGCTACAATAACCCTTGTGCTATATCTTAATACTGGATTCAGTGTGTTTGACACAAGCCTGGAATTTCCAATGTATACAGCTTTAGGAACTGAAGGATCTGTCAGGAATGAAGTTCAGAACAGCTGGATGAGAAAGATTTGGAGTTCTGAGCACATAGCAAGGCTTGAAATCTGCTTGGGGTTTTTGCATCCTGCATCTTCATAATAGGGACAGGATGCATCTCCTAAGTCCCTTCTTTTCTTGGAAAGAAGCAGAAGTGACATTATTTTGACACAGGAATGGACAATAAATTACATAAGTTCTACATAGCAAATGTCACAGGACTGGCACAAGGTCTGGTTTTGCAGTAAGAACACCAGAACAAACTCAATACTTTGGCTCCTCATTTCACACCCAGGAGCTGGTCCTTTGATAGTCCACATGTAACAAAACCCACATATGGGTCCGGAAACAGCCGGGCACCTCTCTCTCTAGGCAACATGCCCAAGTCCCTACCAAGTCTGGTTGTCTCTGCTTTGCACAGTTCACCAACCCAGTCCCAGCAGTTGTTGCACCCTCAGATGCCTCCACTGCATTCATGTGTATCAGCATATGCCCTCCATGCCATGCTGAAAAATACCACTTTGGATTACAATACTTCTTTCAAGCACTTTGAGTAGAAAAAAACCCTAAGTTATGGCTGAGGGTCACAGGAGCACTACTAAGGCAAAAACCCCGAGACCCAGGGAAGACTGGATCCCAGGATAAGGCATGTGGCCAGGACCAGTCTGCTCTTGAGGGGCCACCCAAGTAGCGTGGATGTGAGCCTTTTAGCATTACTTGCCCTGGGAGCTCAAAGCAGATGCCTTGAGCCATTGGCCATTTAATTTTGGTTATTTCCAAAGAAAAGGTGCTAAGGGGATGTGTAATCTTTTACTTTTTTCCCCCCAAATGTCATCTCTGAAGCTTCATTCTGGTACTTGAGAGCCACTCTGGGATCTTCCTGGCTTGTTCAGCCTCACTAGTAATTGACACTGGTAGTCGAACTCTTTCTTTTTTCTTTCTCAGCCCATCCCAGGGGCTGTCACTGAAGAGAAACAGGGCTAAGTAAGGAAAGCATCTGGCTGGGCCGTCTATCAGTTTCAGTCTATCAGTATCAGCGCTATTGATGATGTATGAGCCAGAGCCAAGTCCAGCTCGTACACCCAGAGCCGCGCCGACTCAGCAGGACTAAAAGGCAAAATTAAAAAAGAGAAACCTTTATTTTGTCAAGCAGTCACAGCTCTAGCAATCAGTATTCTTGGAGAGCAGTGTTGCTGAGGAAGGAGAGGCTGTCTTTATAAACATGTTTCTATGTAAAATCATCTTATAACTCAGAACCTGGCTTTGAGCTCCTTGGCATCTATAGAGTAAAGCAACACGGTATTGCGTCTCCCCGCCCCTACCTCTTGCAGAAAAGAACTTGATTTAGCCCTGCTTCTGCTCCAAGGAGGCAAAGCATTTCATACTTTGTGTTTCTCCTGATAAGAATTAATGGAAAACACCTTCTGTATGAAAGGGTGTGGCGTTTTTGTTTTTGTTTTTTTTCTGATATCACCGACAAGAGCATTTTCAGCCTCAGATCCAAGGAGGCTCTTTTTACACAGGGCACCTTTTTATGCCCTCCAAGTCTCAGTATCTGCAAGAACCACCAAAAGCTAGGCCCTAGGTTAAGGCGGTGCTGAGAGCTAGGAGGGAGCCTTTCTTGGTTGTGCTGCAGTGTCAAAGCCACGTGGCCTTCCACAGGCTGCCGGCCACAGTGTCAGCAGCCAGCTAGCTGCCTTTCTCTGTTGGGCCAGCAGCCCAAAACTGGGACACACTGGTCTAAAACTCCAGTTTTAGGATAACTTCAAACAACGCAGCTCCGACACACACAGCAGTCTTCTCCTGCCCAGCAGCAAGTTTTGTGTAACACCTTTCCTAAGTGGCACAGCAAACTTCACCCCTCTCCATAAACAAAGGAAAAGAGAGGATTCAGGCCCCAGCTAAGGCTGAATGCTGGTCTTCAGCAGTTAGCAACACTTTTTTAACCACTTAAGTATCAACAAACGTTTACCACAGGCAGCGGCACTTCAGCCAACAAATGCTTCAAAGGGAAAGCGATTCACTCTCTTCTATGTCTCCTTTGCTTTTTAAACTCCCTGATTCCCTGCATGTCCCACTTAGGGCTTGGCCAGGGCTTCACATTTGTAAATCACCAGAGCCAAGCCCACATGGCCCTCAAGGCTAGCAGGGCTCAGGTACATGGCCCAAAAAACCCCAGGGAGCAAGGAGAGACGGCCCAGCACTAAGCCTGGACGAGGAAACACCACTCGCAGCCGGACGGCACGAGGCTTGGCCGGACCTCGCGTCCCCCCCTCCATCCTCCCAGCGCCGCCACGGTGCAAGGAGGTGGCCACGACTCTCCCAGTTTTACAACCTGGAAAACATACAGGCAGATTCTCAGCTGGTGCAAATCAGCATAGCTTCACTGCAGGCAAAGGAGCTATCCCAATTCACGCCAAATGAAAGTCTGGGTCAGAGAGGCGAAGAGACGTGGCCGTGGATGCTCCACAGGTCAGCGGCAGTGCCAGGCGCGGAGGTCGGGCATCCCAGCTTCCTGGTCCGAGGGTGCCACTGACGTGACTGGAAATCACACACCAGCATTAAGTCCTTCTCCGGTCAGCAAAGCAACGCAGAGGCCTGGTCCTCAGAGCCAGCAAGAGGTTTTCCACTCCCCTAGGTAGCTACAAATTGCCGTGTTCCCTTTTTTAGCAGCAGTACCTTCAGTTTTTGCTGCCCTTTACATTTTGACAGTACACACACCATGGCTCTGCCACACCATTTGGCCTCATGTAGCCAAATCTGCAGTGGCTGGCAGGAGGTTTTTTTACACACAGAGGACCTTTACCTATGGTGTAAAGGCCAAGTAAAATGACAATAGTCCACACAAGGTGTAGGATCAGTTTCCCTGGCCTTCACCAGAAAAAACTCTCGTGCTAATAAGGCTTGTGTTGGTAGGTACGGGGCCCTGTTTTTACATACCGCTAGAAGGCATCACAAGGGGAGCTAGAGAAAGGTCATACACAATACAGGCTTATCGCGACAGAGTGGACATCTCCATTCGAGAACCTCATTGCAGCCATCAGGCACGCTGCCCCGATCAGGCACATTTCTATAGCTTTTAATACACCTTAACAACTACATTTGAGACAAAGTAGAAGGCACAGTGTACAGAAAAAAAAATGATACCCTTTTATTTGTAAAGCTCTGATGAAACAACAACTTTCCAAATGACATCCCATTTAAAAAAAAAAAAACAATGGAAACCAACCTAACTATGCGTCAGTCACACTATACAGATTGCATCCTAAATTTTAAAGATGCCTAAATATCTTATGGAGTATTTACATATGTATCAGTTAGGTAGTAAAGTTTCATTGCAATTTGTTTCTTTCCAGCACATACTTATTCAATGGCAAAAAAGCCAGGGGATGCATTTGCATTTTTGTACAAAACTTAGGAGCACATGGCTAGGGCAATTTTCCTGAGAGAAAGCTTGTTCTTTGAAACTCTTGCTTTAACAACTGGAAACACAAAAAAGTGGATGTTTTTTGTTGTGCTAAAAAGCCTAAGGATGCCTAGTTAAGTTTTTCTTTTAAATTATTTACGTACCATTAAGTTAAAATGTTTACATTCATTCATTCGTATAAAAACTGTTGTTAAATCTTATGCAAATGATTTAACACTGATTGCTGCAACGCAAATTGCACTTCTTTAAAAAAATTATTGTATATATGGAAGAAAAATATCTGATTGCTACCCTGTTTACAAATTTTGACTGACTCTATACAGTTCAGCCACAAAATATGAACTTTCATAAACCTCAGTCACAGTGTACTTTAAAAGTTATAACGCAGTCTTGCAAAGTGAGTAAATATTTTAAACAACAACAACAACAAAATCTCCTTAACCAGCTCGACCTTGTGAGACTTGTACCAAACATTGTGATTTCCTCCGAAGGCGTATTTGGGCTCTGACACGGAGGGGCAGAGCAATGCAGGCACACTGGAGACGGAGGGCGCCCATCGGGACAACCGGCGGGGCGAAGGCATCAAAATGTTCAGTTCGAGACGTCCGCACTGACTCAAGGAGTACACACTTCTGACGCTCTTTAAAACGCATCTCACTGTCTCTAATAATTAAAGCCTCTGCTGCTCCCTCCCCAACACTGACTGCTTCAGTCAGATGCTCGGGGGAGAAGGTGGTGAGAGAGTGAAAACACATATACAATCAGAAAGGCAGCACTGCTGGGTAAGTTGAGGATGTATTTCTGGAATCTATCAATAGGTCTAGGTTTCTCTCTTCTTTTTCTTTTTTTCTTTTTTTTTTCCTTTTTTTTTTTTTTTCCTTTGAATGTCTTCATAATAAAAATAAAACCTAACTTTTAGAACCACAATCATCTTAAAATTAAGAGGCTAAATATTTCTCTCCGAGATCCCTGAACTCTGAAACCAACAGAGCTGCTCCTATTACTTTCTGGAACGAGGTTCTGGGGAATTTGGCCTGATTTTTGTGAAGTGGCAACGCCTTATAGGTTTCTGACAGGACCACATATTGAGGTCAGGCTGACGCCTGTGTACAGCCCGTCTTGACCCGAATACTTAAGGTTGCTGCTTTCAGGGCTGGTGCTCTCTCCCGGGCCGGACATCACTGAGGAACTCGCCTGCAGAGGGAGAAAAAGAAAAGAGAAATTTAGCTACGTCTGCCGGCTTTGCGCCCCTCTGGGCGACAGTCTCCACGGGGCGGGGGGGACGGAGCTGGGGGACGCGTGGGGGCGTCTCTCACTCTCATGACTCAAAATTTGGTAGCTGAAGAAATCGCACGGGGACAGCCAGCTCCTGCTCCCCTTCGTGTAACGGTGACTTTACTGCGTCGGCATGGCCTAACTGCAGCGACAGCAGCGTTCGGAAAACATTACGTGACTTTCTTAATAGCAACAGAAAAGAAAAATCTGCAGAAAAATCTGGAAGTGAGACCATCCGGACTGCGATGATGGAGCTCACGCGCGTGTGTCCCACTGCCCCCTAACGGAGGCAAGCAGATGCCAACCCCGTAAACGTGACCCGGCACTGGCAGCACCTATAATTCCGGTTCCTCGGCTGCAGAAGCCGGGTGCGTCCCAATCTTCCAGCAGTGAGTGCTTAGCACCTCCTGGAAACTGGGCTGCTTCGGGTTCCTCGAAACTCAAAGCCGTCTAAAATCATCCTTTGCCTCGCAAAATGCTAGTCACAACCACTTCACCCTCTGTAAGGCCACTGAAAGAGTTTCCGCCTTTTATCTCAAGTGGAGAAACGCTGTGCCTTTGAACTAAGAGCGTCTCTGTCCCTCACGCTGCCACCTTCACGCACAAGACACGGCGCAGGGGAGCCTTGGTGGACGTGAAGATGAAATTCTGAACTGTACTATAATCAGTCCATTTATTTTAACAGCAAAATGGAGAGTTGCAAAGACAAAGAAACAATCAGTTTTTCCATGAGGCCGCACAGATCCACTAAAGAGGAAAAAATTGCAGTGCCAGACAGAGAAGGGGCAACATTTTCACCTGATAAAGGAAATGTTTAAGAGCTGACTTCATGCAAAATTAACTCTCGGATATGTCAGCTTTAAAACCTTAATTTACTTGTTAATGGATAGTCTTCAGACAAGATTCCTTAAAAAGAAAAAAAAAAGGACTATCCTTAAACCATGACTGCAGAAGTTTCCTGCCTGCTGTTTAAGTGAAAAGTATACATATTTAATCATTTTACAAGAGTAGAGTTCTTGGCTCTCCTGGAGCCATGCCAAGCTAGCTGTTCTTACATAGGAAAAGCAGGGCTTCGCTTCTTCAAAGGCCATTCCACATAGTGCTTTACAGAGTTCTTGTTGCTGTGTTGAGCCCAGGTAAAACCTCACCTTCTGCAAACGCAGGTACTCACTGCCAGTGATCATTTTTTTCTGAAATGACCTGGAGCCCAGCGTTTCCTTTATCTTTTTTAAAAATGTATGATCTCTACTATTCTCACACCTAGTCGTGCACCAGGACCTCGCTTCGCCAGTCTCTACACAAAAATGCAGAGACTGGAGAAACAACGGCTTCCCCAAAAGACAGCCAAAGTAGTTCTGTTCCCAAGAAGGATGTTTTCTCTCTCTATCAGATGCCCAAGCATCTTTCCGTAATGACAAATCTATATTTCCCCTTTCTTTGTGACTATGCCCGGAGAATACAATGAGGCAGACTTCATGCTAACATTTGGGTCCGTTTTTGGTCTTTCATCAGTCTGGATTTTCAAAGAGGATTTTTTATTTCCTCATGCATAAAATAGACTCCTGTTAACACAAAAGATATAATTTTTAACAGTCTCCCCACAGCGAAAAAAGGGCTTAAGTTACAGTGGAGCAGTGTTTGCTCAACCTGAGCTAAAAATACTAGAAGCTGCTTTGAAAGGTTCCCGTTTGCCCATATTTGCAACCGTCGTTCCGGTAGGCAAATATCTTATCGCTACCTGTTTTCTTCCTGCCTTGGAAAATGTAATTCGCCCTTTTCCTGAGTCAGTCCTGCAAAGGTGGGGCGCAGCGATCTGCCGTTTCCATGTCGGGCTATCAGCCACCCCTCCCACCGGCACCCCAGAAGGGAGGCCACGGAGGCACGTCCTGTTTGAAGCCCGCCCGGCCCCTGCCAGCCCACGGCCGGAGCCAGGCGCCACTGAGCAGCACGGGCAGGACCTGGGCAGGACCGCCGGGCTGGAAACCCCACCCTGGTAATGTCATGACAAAGCCAGTCAGCTTGGGCAGCTCCCAAAGTGAGACATGGAAAACAAACTTGAGCTTGTGTAAAGGACACGGCTGAATCAGTAAATTACTCAGCTCTGCTCACGTGCCTGCCTACCTCTGCTGTGAGGTCTCCAGCATTCATAGAGGAAAGACAACAGAAGTTACAGCTGCTTAGTAGAAGACATTTGTCAGCTGGCACAAGTAAGCTGAACAAGGCTCCTGAAGTCAATGAGCTATTCTAATTCACAACAGCTGGCTCTATCAGTAAAAAGGCAATGGATTTATTTTTATTGCCGAAATCTGATAATAAGATAGATAATTAACCGAACCTCAACTTCCTGAGGAGAAAATGAATGAAGTCTGTTAGGAAGGACTTGTCCTCCCAACAAATAAAGGAAGTTTGGATTTATATCTGCAAAGATGGTTTAAGGATCCGACCTTCTTCCTACACAAACCAACAGGAGTGGGTCATGGAGCTCAGACCCAACGGGGTGGTTTGGCTCAGAGGTGCCATTTCTGCAGTGGACCTGCCCACCACTCTCTCAGGGACATCTCAGCTAAAGCCACAGAAGGACTTGGACACCTTCATCCTACCTAATCCCCTGATCAGCACCCCGAACCAAATTTGCACCCACTAAAGCCTGTCCTGAGGTCAGAAACGGGCTGCTCAGCCTGTGCCAGCCGGTGCTGGGGGAAGAGCACCAATATCTCTGGCTGAAAGTCTCCTGCTTTCTTCCGCCCACTCCTTCCTCCGCCATCCGCCTGACACGGAGTCTGGCGAGCGAGGAGAGACACCAGCCCTCTGCCTCACCCCACGCCTTGGCACGTGAGATGCAAAAGCTCCAAGCAAGAAATCATGCTAACAGTTGGAGGGGGTGGCCGAGAGCCTTGATCTAGACCTCCGCTCTATCAGAGGGACCTTTGCTCCATCTGCTCAAAAAGCTCCCTGAATTTTGGACATTATACTAGGTCTGTAGCAAGCTAAGTCTCAGCTGACAAACCGCTCTCGCTCTCTTTTCTATTTGCATAGTTATTTTTGCCACACTTGAACAGTAACTGTAGTCAGTTGAAACACACTTGCAAAAAATGCTTTCATATATAATATATTTTGGCAAACTTCAGTGAGGTCCTTACTTTTCCAGCCTGTCTCCCTTCGGTAACTGCCTTCCCCACTAAGAGCACTGTCTCCAAATACTATCACTCCCTGTTTTCTTAAGAATAAGTCTCCATACTGCAAAATCAAAGCTTTTTTTCTGATTTAGTGACCGTCTTCCTACATAAAGTTGTAATTTCTCACTAGTCCAATTGATGCTTTTGTTTATCTAACAGATGTGTAAGTTTACATATCTTCTAATCTCTCCTTTGTATTATAGCAACATAAATCTGTGGATAATACTTCATTAATTTCCTAAGGGAGGCTTCTTCCAGCGTGGCTTGGGAAAGCTGATGACCCAACTGCTGTCGAGGGCTGTGTGAGTAATTGACTTTATTGCTTTGGCAATAAAACAGCACAAAACAAAATGTATGTGTCCATATGCATATATGTTTTGCGCTGAACCAAGAATACTCTTTTTCCTTGTTTTTTTCCCTGCTGAAACAAATAAATGTAATTACTTTGTTCCGTTTGATACAAAATGAAATGCTTCCTTTTGGATACATGTACAAGAAGCAAAGAAAACAAATGACTGAATTTATGAAACTGAACAGGGAGAAGAAAGCAGCATCCTATTTTGTCCGAGATTTATGACTATCATGGAAGAGACCGAGACTCATTTCTGTTCTCTGGCATATCACATCTGCAGGCATAATGCCTTGACTACCAGACTATTTGGTATTTTAGGTTGCCATGTTCCTCATGCCTCCTGTTGATCTTATTCCACCTGGTTTAAATAAATATTTATTCATACCAGGACTGAGGCACCGTGTTCCCATTTTCCAGGTGAAAGTCCTAACAAGTCCATGAGTCTTTCTCACGGAAGCTCTGTCCCGATGTCCTGATGATTACTAAATTATTCTATACCAACTGAAATCTTATAATCAGATAGTCTGAAGGACCCTCAGCCATTCAGCTTTCCAGTATCCAGGCAGTTACGAGATTTCTCTCTTCAAGAGGTCAAGTGTATGAGTTTATCCACACTCTGGCAAATCCTGTATTGAGGTTGATTCCCGTATATCCTGCATGCATGACCTACCAATCCGCTGCCCAAAAGAGAGCAAAAGGCAACACCTCTAACACTCTCATGAACCTAGTTCAGAAAACAAAACAAAACAAATGCACGTGAATTCACATACTCAGTGAATTCAGCACAGATTGCCAATAAATTTGGGGACCATTAGAACTGTATCTTTCTCCCAGCTCACCACCTGCCAAGATCATTTCAGTTAGCTCTCCCACTTCCCATACTCCACCACTGAAGATCCAGGCCTGAACCACTTCCAAAGGTAAATGTCCAAGGGAAGTAAATACTAGTTTTACCTGCAAGACAACTGTCCTGCGTTATTATATGCTGTGTGATTACGGTCCTTCTGAGAAAGCTCCAAATTGGAGGCAATGGGCGCAGTACAGTCTTCAGAAAGAAGAGTTCCTCTGGTGCTGCTGTGCCTTTACTGACATCAGCTCTGGCTCATGGAGCCTCCATGTCCTGCCATAAAAAGCAGATTTTACTGCACTTTTCATACTGCCTTTTAGCCTAATAAGGGAATAAAGCACTTGTGCTAATCACACCAATTGGAGCCCCTGCATGGAAATGCAAGGGTGTGCACCAAAGACTGCGTCCTTCGTTTAGCAAATTGCCCCGCGTAGCTTTCTTCTGTACAGTTTCAGCAGCATCAAAGGGAGAGCAGGTATAGACACAGATGCAGGCTGTCTGAAACCTTCAGATCTTCTTTTTATGGGGATGTAAAGCCACTTCATATATCACGGAGCTGGACCTTTTCCATATTAGTAACACAGGACACCCAGTACTTATACCGCTTAGGAAAACAGAAATAGGCCTAAATCCTGGATCCAGATGTGAATTTGGCAAATAGCCCCTCTACAATGGGACAAGGAAACATCTCCGATCCAAACACTTCTACATTTTGGGATGTTTGAAATCAACTCTGCGCCCATAGCAATTCATTAATCATATCTTTTAAATGTTTAAACTTCAGCTCGAACATAAAATCAACATTTAAGGTTCTTGCTAATTTGTCTCAAAATTGGCATCATATAAAATTCCCTTTATAAAACAGACAATCTCAAAGACATTTCACTGAGTAATTGCTGCCCTTCTCTCTTTCTGCCCTCCCCTCTTTATTTTACTTTTAAGAGAGATAAAAAAGGTAGGGCAAAAAGTGAATATTACTGACAAATGAATTCTGCTGAATTTCATTTCCATTAGATTTCTACATAACTAGGGACTCTTTTGGCAGCCTCCCATAAAAGGCATAATAAATTACTTTTGTACCAGTAAAGGAATTCATTTTCTCTGATTCATTTAGCAACAACATTGCTGTGAATTTCAGACAACGGTTTCTAAAATGTCATCATATTTTTCTGCCTAATGTCAACTTGGCATTTTTCCCCTCCTTACAGAATAAAGACGAGAGAAATAAGAACAAAACACAACAAAAACAAGCTGCCCGGCCAGCTGTGTGACGCACAGGGGAAGAGCCAGGGACACTCTTCAAGCAGGTGCCCACGTTTCGGGAACGTCACCAAGCGCCGCTGGCGAGAACTGACACCTTCTTGTTAAAGCGACCAAGGACTAGAAAGCAGGAACGCGTCCATCCCAGAGTTTTTCCCTTCCCATACGGCCTGGAGAAGTTTGTTCTCCTAGTGCAAAGCCATTGCCTGTTCGAAGACTAAACACAGACCTTCGGGCCATCGATATGTCAACTTGGAAATCAAGGCAAACAGAAGGCCAGTGTAGTACTTGTGTTTCAGCAGGTGATCAGGTTAAAGGCTCCGTCGCTCTAAAATGCTGAAAACCCTTTCAGGGTGAAGCTGTCGCTCCCGACAACTTCAGTGGGCCTCATGAGCGCACAGCCCCCTCCACAGCATCAAGGCCCAAAGCGATGATTTCACTTCCTTTGTAGCTAGTGACCGTCTTCCCAAAGGATGCTAGTGGCAACAGAATTGTTGCGTCTTAACGGCTGCCGCTTCCCACTTTCGGCCCCCAGTCTCCCCTGGCCCTACGCCATGGAGTTGGGACTTAAGAGCAGCCTCGGGGTTTCTCTGAGTTGCTCTTAATTGCTAAGTCGTGCTTAGTTGCAACTGCAAAATTTGTACTATAAATTGCATTACTGCAAATTAAAGATTATTAATACCAGTTTTGATAGGCTCCCCTATGGAGAAGGGCAACAGCAAGGGAGACAGGCTTGAGCCAGTCAGGAAAGCAACGGTGTCGGAAAACGACATCTCCTCTGAACAGCCTCTCCTTCCTTGAGCAACATCTAGCTGTGCTACCTACAGCACTGCCCCAGGACTTGCTTTGGACTTGGCCTGTAACTCTGCCCTTTGTATAAATCTCACTACATTCCTCAGATCAGTAGGCCTGTTTAAGGTAATCAAAGGGAAATTTAAGGTGAATATGGCTGCATTTTTTTTGTCTTTGCAACTACTAGGCAAGAGCCTAAAACAGTGAACAGTTGTTCGCTGGGGGGAGCCTGAAATCCAGCAATAGCTCACTTTTTTGGTTAATGTTTCTCTTTTTTTGATGGGATCTGTTTATTCTATTGGACTGACAGGATTTTTTCATGTCAAAGACAAGCCCTGTTAATAACATCCTTGTCTGGCAGCATCAGAACCAACAACCCAGTGCCTCTGAAAGTGGGTGGCCCTGTCAGTCCACGAACAATCACATTTGCTAAAAATGGTTTTTCTCCCCTCGTACAATGAAACTTTGTAGGTCGGGAATTAAACCAGTGAAAGGAATTTGGATGTGGGAACGCTGAGACATATTGAAAAATAGTTATTATAAACAATGTCTTCTTTTTATTAATAAAGGAGTAAAGAAAGCCACATTAGGAAAGCTTTTCAAAGAAATTATGTGGCAGATTAAAGGATACAGAAGGCCAAAGGAGTGAGTGTGGATACGGATATGTACAGCCAAGAGGTTAGAAATTAATCTATATTAAGCTATTCAACCTTAACAGTAGTATTTGTTATCACACACACTAACTGAGTGAGGAAAGAAAGTCTGCGATGGCTTGAGTATGTGGTGTAAAATAAGGGTCAAAAGTAAGAGAGGAGATGCTCGGTGCTCCTCTGGAGCTCCACGCAGCCAGATGCTGAGCATCCGTAATCAATGGGCTTCCCTCACCTGGCTTGCCCTGGATCTGGATCTGGGTTTAAAACAAAAGCCACTTTGCTTCCCTCGAGACGGCGGGATAAAGTTTTCCTGTTTTTCACTAGCCATTTAGGATGATGCATGCAAACGCATATATATGTATATCTATATCTATATATCTCTAGACGTACACACTAAACAGCTTTGGAAAACGTGAGAGTAGCAGTGCCTTGAATTACAGAGTCTCATCAAAGCATATCTGAAAAAACAGGGTGCGCGCACAACTGTTTCTTTAAATGATCAGCTGAGCATGATATATTGCCTTTGCCCCAAAAGAAAACTTTTGAAAGAGAAGAATCTAAACTTTTCAAAACAAAATGTCTTGGGTTAAGCCATGGTTAACTTAATCATAAAAATTATATAGATCTTAATTAAGAGGTTTGTAAAGTACTTCAGCTTGTCGTTCTGTTTACAATTATATGTAATATCCTCCGAAAATCTTGTTCCAGTATCAGCTAACAAAACTGAAGTTTGTTTAGATTATTGTTCTGCTAGATAAGATAAAAGCTGTGATAACATTGCACAGTGATCAGCTTGCTTACAAATACAGATACTGTGTTACTACTTACCCCTGAGGCTGCAGTCTGTGTGCTTGGAGAAGCATTTTTGCTACAGTCGTCTGAGTTAGTAGAAGACGTGGATGTTGGAGTCATTGAAACTGCAGTAGTACTGTTACCTGAAAGATCAGGAGCTGGCATTAAAAACAAATATTTTCCAGTCAGGAAAAAAAAAAAACTCTTGCAGCTCAGCTGCCTTATCTTTTTATATTTACCAGAGCATGCCTTTGACTTATTTATGTTCTTAGGTTTTCGCTTCCTGGTCTGAATTCCTTCTTTTTTCATCGCAAGGGGTCGGGGAACCTAAAAGTATTAAATTTCCACAGCAATCGTAAGGTTGCATACATACACTCTAATCAACAAAAATCAAAACTATACTGTAAGGTCAAACAGTGATGTTGAAAATGTCCATTAAGTCATATATAGCGAGTCATTTTTCCTTTGTCGTAGCAGCGATTCCAAAAAACGTACAGATTTTACGTGGGTAAAGCAATGAATTGCTTCAAGGGGATTTTTATCTGAATAAAGAAAGCAGGAAACCTTTCTTCTTGATGCAGGCTAAATGGTTTTTCAAACACCTCTGTCAGGCCACACATTAACAACACTTTTACAGAAAAAAGGCATCGTTCGGCCATAGGTCATATGACATTAAGTTGGATCGCACATATCTGGTCCCTAGTTCCTGATTCTGGTAAGTCAGGAATTAATCTTCAGTGGCTGATTCTGGAAAGCAAGAATGCATACGGGGGGAAAAAAAAGCTCTACTCCTCTTCCTGTAGAGCGGCTATGCAAACCAGATCAGTACCCATAAGTGCTTTAGGACAGAAGCGTTAGGACGTAATCAGCTTAGTATTTGTCCTTATAAATAGTTCTGCCCCTGGTACGGCTTTATAGGATCCAGCTTACGTTTACACAGAAAATGCGCTCAAAAATCTGCTTTGCACTCTGTGTCATTACAACTACAACCCTTATACAGAAAACACTGGTTTAAAATATTTTCTAATTTAATGGTAACGTAATTTGGGGGAAATACAAGGCAGGCATATGCTTACTATGGTCATAATGTTTAAACCTGTGGTATAATTTACTTTTTCCTCAAGGACTAGACCAAGCACCAATCACTCCTAATGCCCTAGCTCTTCAAACACTCGTGCTTGACTGTAACTTAATCCACAGGGGCATAACAAATTCCAAGTCTCGCCCAAAGCATATTCCATCATATTTAAGACGGAGCTATTTTCTTCCCGTATTATTACCTGTCAAAGGCGGGAATTACCCCTAAAGCTTTGCTGGCATAGCTATGTCTGCCTGGGCGATGACAAGCTGTCCTTCTGCAGGTCTTTTTTCCTGCTAAAGACCTGGTTTAGATCACAGTGGCGAAAAGAGCTCTGCCACGTTTGCAGGGGCGGTTTCTTGATACAGATCGATCGGGACAGCAGTCACGGCAAACCCCCCGGTCAAAACCTTAACTTGCTAAAAAACGCCTAACCGTTTTCCAATGACGGGCGTCTCTCCGTCATTTTATCGATTTCCGAGGCGTTGCTCTTTTTTTCTAGCTCCTCCTTCCCAAACCGCGAGCCGGCACCG